TTCCAGTTACTTGGAAGGCTGAGGCAGAAGGATCGCCAGAGCCCAGGTCGAGGTTGCAGTGGCCAGGAGCGGCCACTGCCCTCCAGTCTGGGCGACAGAGTGAGACTCCAACTAAAAAAAAAAAAAAAAAAAAGAAAATCACTTAACAACAACAACAACACAGATGTCAGAAAGATGCTGGGTTCAATGTAAGACGCGTTGGGCTTGTATGCACGTGAGAAACCCGAGAGGCGTGTGGGTGTGTAACAAGGCTCAAGCAGACATCTGGGATGGAGTGACAGATATGAACAACCTCAGCTCAGAGATGCTCCTGCTTTCTTGTCTTTCTTGAAGGAAAGACAAATGTCTGTGAGGCAGACAGAAGGAGAGACTGCACTCGGGGCCAGGAAGAGAGAAGGAAGGAACCAGGCGTGTGCATCCTGGGCTGCAGGGGAGCACGAGGCTCCGGTCATCCATGGGGACGTCCTCCACCACAAGCACAGCCCTTCCTGGCACATGGCCTCTTCCCTGTCCTTGGCATGCAGGTGTGCTCACACCTGGCTAATCCTGATTGTTGCATAAATCAGATGGTTGGCATGCTCCTTTAGCTGAGCAGCTGTGCGCATGCCACACACCTGCTGAACATTCCATCTGTCCCCAGGAGAAAACCAAAAGTGACCTGAGTGTGTTCACGGGATGACACTGGGGCACAGACACCCGACCTCCTGTGGTGCTTTTTAACCAGGGTTGTGTGTCACAATTATCCGTGAAGACTTCGCAAACTGCTCCAGCCTGCTTCTGTCCTGCCCTCCTCATCAGGAGATTGTGATCTTGGTGAGAGAGGGTATGATGCAGTGATGCTGGGCAGGTGTATTGTTAACAGCTCTACGGGTGATGTGAGAACTCCCACCTTTAGGAGCTCGCATCTGCCCTGTATGGTGCTTTCTGCATATCAACTGATGCCCTGAAAGTTGCCTTCTACCCGCAGGCTGCAGGCATCTTTCCAGCAACAGTAAGTGATTTTACTCTGCCTATTTTTCTTCATAGCACCTACCATCACCAGACATCACGTTATTTATTTAGTTGTTTATTTAGTTATCTGTCTCCCCACTGGACTGTAAATGTTCTGAAAGGAAAGACTTCATCTGGCTCACTGCTATATTTCCAACACTGAATACCATGTCTGGAATGAAACATACACTCAGTAATAAACAGACTTATTGTGGAATGAATCTCATTCTATCTGCTAATGTCTGTTACCTAATAGGGAATGTCCCTCAGCTCTAAATGTGATGACGATTCTCTTTTGAACTTTCAAATATAAATAAAAACCAAACACCAAATTGAAATGTATAAAACTATAGCACATAAAAATCTCCCTACCTTCGCGTAGTCTAATCTCCCTTTTTCTTGAACCTACAAAAGAAGAGAGAAAATTAATTAGTTCTTTAACAATTATTTAATGCTTCTATAATTTTTGCTTCTCAAAAAATAGAGTTGAACTCTCTCTTTTCTATTCTCTCTTGATCTTACCATATATATGTAAATTTCAAACATATAGAAAAGCTGAAAGAACAGTTCAACAAGCATATGCACACAGGCCGGGCATGGTGGCTCATGCCTGTAATCTCAGCACTTTGGAAGGCGGAGGAGAGAGGACTGCCTGAGTCCAGGGGTTCGAGACCAGCCTGGGCAACTTGGCGAGACCTCATCTCTACAATTAAAAAAAAAATGGTGGTACATGCCTGTGATTTCAGCTACTTGGAAGGCTGAGACGGAAGGATCACCTGAGCCCAGCAGGTCCAGGCTGTCGTGGCTGTGAGCGTGCCACAGCACTCCGGCTTGGGCGTAAGAGTGATACTCCTACTCAAAACAACAACAACAACAAAAAAGCTTAAGCACACACTCTTACTGAGATGTGACAGGTGCAGACATCATGACTTCACTCTGACACATTTCAGACACATCTTGTATGCATAGGACAACTTGCACATCACCACATGCCCACTAGCAAACTTCAGAAGCTCACAAGGATACCACATCCAACATGCAACCCATATTCAAATTGCCTCAATTGTCCCAAGAGTATCTTTTTTTTTTTGACTTGGAGTCTCACTCTGTCTACCAGACTGGAGTGCAGTGGCCACTCCCGGCTACTGCAGCCTTGACCTGCTGGGCTCCGGTGATCCTTCCGCCTCAGTCTTCCAAGTAGCCGGAACTACAGGCGCACGCTACCACACCCGGCTGATTTTTTTGATTTATTGTAGAGATGAGGTCTCGCTGCCCAGGCGGGTCTCGAACCTGCGGGCTCAGGCAATCCACTCACCTCAGCCTCCCAAAGGCGCGGTACAGGCTGAGCCACCGAGCCCAGCTCCAAGAGTATCTTTGATAGCTCTTTTCCCCACATTAGAATTAGCCAAGATTCACATATTGCATCTGGTTTTTACATCTCTTTTTTTGCCTTTTAAATTAAGACTAGCCCCTTCCCATTCTTCATTAAATGAAAATAAAAGCCATTAACTTCTTTTCATAAAAACTATGGACTTTTTGTAGAGATCAGGACAGCTGTCATAAAATGTCTCTAATTCTCCATTGTGTCATTTAACTTGTCTCTGTTTTACTTGTAATCTCAAAGTAAGGTCTGGAGAAGCTTGCTAAGACTTGGGTCATGCATTTTTGGCATGAATACTTGGGAGTGGAATGCTATGTACTTCCTCAATTGAGGAGGCAGAAAATGTCAGGCCGCCCTCCTCTTAGTGATGACATAAACTTGATCATTTGGTTAACGTGGAGACTATCAGATCCCTCCAATTATTGATACATTTCCTTCCATACAGTTAGTAATACTGTGTGGGGTCAATATTTTCTCACTTTCCTTGGTGTAATTTTTCTTATGTTGTATTATGTCAGTAGACCCCAACTCCCACGCCACCCATAGAAGGAATGAGAATAGGGAAGAAAACAGGAGGTGAAGAAGATACCCTGTGTGAGGTCAAATTTTATTTTATTTTATTTTTTGAAAGCAGGATTTATTGAGAGGACAGAAAAGTTCCCACAGTAGGAGGGAACCGAAGGGGTTGCCCCAAATTTTATTTTATTTTACTTTTTTTTTGAGTTAGAGTCTCACTCTGTTGCTCAGATTGGAGTGCAGTGGCGCACTCATGGCCACCGGCAGCCTTGACTTGCTGGGCTGGGGTGATCCTTCCACCTCAGCTTTCCAACCAGCTGGAACTACAGGTGTGTGCCACCACGTCTAGCTAATTTTTTTTTTTTTGAGTTGGAGTCTCACTCTGTCACCCAGACTAGCTTCTACCTGCTGGGGTCTGGCGATCCTTCCGCCTCAGCCTTCCAAGTAGCTGGAACTGCAGGCGCGTGCTACCACACCCGGCTAATTTTCTGATTTATTGTAGAGATGAGGTCTCACCAATTTGCCCAGGCGGGTCTGGAACCCGCGGACTCAGGCAATCCACTCACCTCAGCCTCCCAAAGTGCTGGGATTATAGGCTGAGCCACCGAGCCAGGCTTTAAAAGTATTTTTAGTTATTAAAAAATGACTTTAAAAATCAGGCTAAGTGCAGTACTCATGCCTATAATTCCAGCACTCTCGAAGGTCTAGGTGGGAGGACTGCTTGAGCCAAGGAGTTCGAGACAAGCCTAGGCACTTTGGAAGGCCGAGGCGAGAGGATTGCCTGAGCCCAGGGGTTCGAGACCAGCCTAGGCAACTTGGTGAGACCTCGTCTCTACAATAAATCAAGAAAAATTAGCCAGAAGTGGTGGTACACACCTGTAATTCCAGTTGCTTGGAAAGCTGAGGTGGAAGGACCACCTGAGCCCAGCAGGTCAAGGCTGCAGTGGCCATGAGTGTCTCACTGCTCTCAAGCCTGGGCAACATAGTGAGACTTTGAATCAAAAGCAAATAAAAAAAAAATCTTGCTGGGCATGGTGGTGCGTGCTTGTAGTCCCAGCTATACATGACTCCAATGTGTTAGGCTATATGTCAAATCTTCATGTAACAGAGATGACCAATGTGTTCATCTTTGTGGGCAGGTCAACTTGTGCTATACAGACTTCAGAATAAAATTCTCCTGCCTCCTCTGCATACAAGAGCCCTTCAACTTAAAAATGGCTTAAGGCTTGAGATTGCTTTGTTCCTGAGATCAAAATGACATTATTATTATTTTTTTTTGAGTTGAAGTCTCACTCTGTCTCCCAGACTGGAGTGCAGTGGCCGCTCCCGGCCACCACAGCCTCGACCTGCTGGGCTCCGGCGATCCTTCCGCCTCAGCCTTCCGAGTAGCCGGAATTACAGGCATGCGCTACCATGCCCGGCTGATTTTTTGATTTATTGTAGAGATGAGGTCTTGCTGCCCAGGCGGGTCTCAAACCCGCAGGCTCAGGCAATCCACTTACCTCAGCCTCCCAAAGGCGCGGGATTACAGGCTGAGCCACCACCGAGCCCGGCTTCAAAATGACATTATAAAGGTAATTTTCTTTTCCATGAGAAAAAAGGGAAATATTTACAACATTCGTTTTGACTCTTCTTGCTTCTTTACAATCCTTTACAAATTTATCCAGTGATGCTTGCATTTTCTCTTCTTTTCAATTTTTCTTTTTTTTTTTTTGAGTTGGAGTCTCACTCTGTCGCCCAGACTGGAGTGCAGTGGCCGCTCCCGGCCACAGCAGCCTCGACCTGCTAGGCTCCGGCGATCCTTCCGCCTCAACCTTTCAAACTTATAACAAGACTCATGCTAGCTGCAGGCACCAACACAAACCACTCTAAAATTGTGGTTTTGGCTGGGCACAGTAGCTTATGCCTATAATTCCAGTACTCTGGAAGGTCTAGGTGGGAGGACTGCTTGAGCCAAGGAGTTCGAGACCAGCCTAGGCAACATAGAGAGACCACATCGCTATACAAAATTAAAAAATTAGCCAGGCATGGTGGTGTACACCTGTAGTCCCAGCAACTGGGAAGGCTGAAGTGAGAGGATAACCTGAGCCCAGGAAGTTGAGGTTGAGGTAAGTCACGATGGTGCCTTAACTCAGGAAAAAAAAAAAAAAGGGATTTGATCATTTTCTTTTTTTTTTTTTTTTTGAGTTGGAGTCTCACTCGGTTGCCCAGACTGGAGTGCAGTGGCCGCTCCCGACCACCGCAGCCTCGACCTGCTGGGCTCCGGCGATCCTTCCGCCTCAGCCTTCCGAGTAGCCGGAATTACAGGCACGTGCTACCACGCCCGGCTGATTTTTTGATTTATTGTAGAGATGAGGTCTCACTGCCTAGGCGGGTCTTGAACCCGCGGGCTCAGGCAATCCACTCACCTCAGCCTCCCAAGGCGCTGGATTACAGGCTGAGCCACCAAGCCCGGCTTGTGAGTCAGTTCTTATATAAACTTTAACGTTGCCAAAATTAACTAACTAATTAATTAATTTATAGAGCTAGGGTCTCATTCTGTTGCCCAGGCTGGAGAGCAGTGGCATGATCATAGCTTTGAACTCCTGGCTTTAAGTGATCCTCTTGCTTCAGCCTTCTGAGTAGCTGGGATTACAGGCATGGGACACCATGATTGGCCATTCTCATAGAATTTTAAAAACCGGGCTATTCTTCTTTCTGTTCAGATATTTTACATTTGTTTATCTGTTTATAGGTATCCTTCCCCAAAACAAAGAAGGGTTTACACTGCAAACCCTTCTCCTCCCACAGTAACTTCTGCAGAAGTGGCAGGGAAGCCCTGAACATACCACTCGTGACCTAGCTACTCACTTGGATAGTGTGCAAATATGGACTAGCCTTGGCCTCATGAATAATCTGCGGATTGCTTGTGACTACAGTTTCAGCAGCGGCACTTTCACAACGTGCTTAGTCTTCAAGAGCTCAAGCGCCCAACTGACTCTGGTATTCCTTTTAGGTTAATGGACATCGGACACTGAGGCTGATCCTGTGGTCCCAAGTTTCCCCCTTTTCCCACTCTCCATTCTTTTCCTGTTTTTGTGATCACCATGGTCTGCTCAGGCACAACACTTTTCAAATAATGCCATGATATTGTGAAATACATATTACATATTTGGCTAGCCGGGCATGGTGGCTCACGTCTGTAATCCCAGCACTTTGGAAAGTGGAGGCAAGAGGACTGCCTGAGCCCATGGGTCCCAGACCAGCCTGGGCAACTTGGTGAGACCTTGTCTTTACGATAAATAAAAAAATTAGCCAGGCCTGGTGGTGCCTGCCTGTAGTTCCAGCTTCTTGGAAGGCTGAGGTGGAAGGATCGCCTGAGCCCAGCAGATCGAGGCTGTGGTGGCCGTGAGTGTGCCACTGCACTCCAGCCTGGGTGAAAGAGTGAGACTGACTCAAAAAAAAAAAAGAAAAGAAATACATATTTGACTTTGTCCAGTTTCTTGGCACACAACCCCCCAATCTCTTA